TGATTAAAGTGTCAGGGTGCAAGGCTTGAAGAGATTGGCCCATGATAGCAATTGTTGGAGGAAGAATAGAGACTATTGGGGCACATTGTTGTGTTGACAATTAAAAGGAATCCAACAAGTTAAGTGAATATGGAAGATCATATGCCTACAAAATACAATTTAAACCATCTGAGGGAGGATAAGATGCTGGATCATGGCTCTGTTCTCTCACATTTTTAGTAACTTATTGTTTCCCCTAATCCTAAAATTTCTACTCTAGTGATAAGGAATATCAGACTATGTTCAACTCCTAGAGATTACAATAGCAGCCTTTAAGTGTTTCAAGGATATTCCATATAGTCTTGGTGCTTAACGCTAAATTTAACTTCTTTATTTGGCATCATTTGTATACCTATCAGTGTGGGTATATCTTTTCCCCTGCAATTAGAATCTATTTCTAATGCAACTCCAAGATATGAGACCTTAATATATGACACCTAATAAGAGTGATCTCTTAGATGGATTTTCCTGCAGAACACAAGTGGATTCCCCCAGCAATTCCTATCTGGTAGATTTGGTTATGAAGACTGAAAGAAATTAGTAATGTACCAAGGGTGTATGAGTGTGTCCACCCTAGGTGCAGACAGTAAGGAGAATACAGGTTACATACAGCTCACGTTAGAACAATTCATTTAGTGACCGTTCAAAATTACAACGGCACTGGAAAAGGTGACTTACGACTGTTTTTCACACTTACAATGGTTGCAGCATCCCCAAGGTCACATGATCAGAATTCAGACACTTGGCAACCGACTCATATTTATGAGGGTTGCAGTGTCCCTGGGTCATGTGATCACCTTTTATGACCTTCTGACAAGCAAAGTCAATGGGGAAGCCAGATTCACTTAACAACCGTTTCAGTAACCACGTTACACTTAACAACCACGGTAATTCATTTAAGAAAGAAAGAAAGAAAGGTCGTAAAATGGGGCAAAACTCACCTAACAGCTTTCTCACTTAACAACAGAAATGTTGGGCTCAATTGCGGTCATAAGTCAAAGACTACCTGTAACTTCTGATAATCCATTGGCTTATAGCCTTCTCCATTACTGTAACTGTTCTAACTTGCAAGAACATTTTCCACAATTATTTGTTTTCCTTCAGGGAAATGCAGAGAGGCCCTTGAGATCTGCAAATATTATTCTCAACAACTCTACTGGATGCATGAAACCAAAGAGACCTTCCTTCCTGCTTTCCCCCCCCCCAAAAAAAACCCCTCACATCTTCTGTGGGAATAAGGAAACTTTATAAATATTTTTTTTCCTCTTTCTTCCAGTAGATGATAATGGTAGTAACATCCACAACCACAGTACATTCACTCTCTGAATTCTAGCTAATAAAACATTTCCAACGTCAAAGTGAATATGCACAGAAATCCAGTCTTAAAAATGACTTTAATATTTATCTATGTTACAAAAATACATTTTATTTTAAGATACAGTATTATCTCAACAATATTAAATTTAAATTAGAATATAAACAAATTTGATTTTTTTAATGCAGGTTTTATAATTAGTGCTAAAAGTATAATAAATGCCAGAGGTTTTCATTGAGGCGTAATACAAGTAATTCACTGAACAATTTCAAAGAAATCATGTAGTATGTTTGAAAACTTATAGAGTATATTAAAAACCCAGCTTTTTTTCTAATTGGTAAGATCCAGGATAATATTGTAATAACATATTATTCATAAATATTCTTGGTTAATTGGCTCCAATGTGCTTTCAAATGATGTAAAAAATAAATAAAAATAGATGAAAAAGGGGTGGGCATGAAAAGTAATACATTTACCCCCTCAGAACACATAATATACTCTGTTGATGTCTATTTACAAAAGGATGTTCAATTCTATTTTTATATGTTCACTGAAAGAACTTAAAATGATAGCACCTAGGTCAGGGGTAGGCAACCTTGGCTCTTTTATGACTCGTGGACTTCAACTCCCAGAATTCCTGAGGCAGCTGTGCTGAGGGGAAAGGGAGAGGTTTCCAAGCTGAGCCATGTTAGCTCAGGAATTCTGGGAGTTGAAGTCCACAAGTCATAAAAGAGCCAAGGTTGCCTACCCATGGCCTAGGTGAAGACAAGTACTAGAGGACATAATCCTTTAGATGTTCTCTTGTTCAAGACAACGTTGTCTTGTATAGCTTCATTCATTACAGAAATGCTGTGATGCAGGAAGATATCCTAAAATGTTACACTTTTAGGTAAGAGACCTCCATATTCAGCACTGAAAGGTCAAACTGAACAGAGACTTGGAAGACTTTGTATGTGTCTTCCTTTTTGATAAAACCCACACACATTCTATGGCACTATAATGTCTACCTTCCACCACGTAGAGCAGCAAATTGTAAAATGTGTTCAAATATGTAGATATTATCCATAGTGACAAATACGTGCTTTGAGAAGGTCGCCTCATACTTCCTCTAACTTCTTATCTTTTTAAAAATATCATCTCCTAAGACCAGGGGAGAGTTTAATTAATAAAACATGCTGCTATACCCACCTGAGAAGAATATGTTATTTATTTTTGTTTTCAAGATTACAGTAAACTGTTTTTCTCCCTGCACGTGGAAGCCATGAGCCAGATTGTACATTAGGTAAACCACAATCCCAAATTGAAATAAGATAAGATAATGCCAACATTTCATTTTTACCAGCAGAATAAAGATCCATGTTGTATCACAGCAGAGAGAATTTTAAAATATAGGCATTGTTTCTTTGGGAAGCTGTACTCAACTAACAAGACATGTTGCCCCTATTTAAAAATGCTGAGAACATGTGACATACCAAAATGTATTGTAATTAAAGGCTCCTCATTTTCAGACTGATTCGAGCAATGCTTATTGCAGTAACCATAAAAACCTATTTTAGCCTTACCAATAGGATGGCAATAATTTCTAAAAGAGTGATCTGTTAGTGATTCAGTTGGATCACTGCACTGAAGCTGGTACACAAAATAATGTGTGTCTACTCCCCTCCCTTAAATGCAAAGCAAACAAGCTGTGTTTTGCCTCAGAGTCTCCATCTGCGACAGATGGGAAAGCCTCTTCTAACTATAGGTTGTGTTTGGATCCAGGCAACACAAAGTCATGTGAAGCACCTCATGGGATCATTTCTCTTCCTTAGTAAGAAGGATGGTATCACTTCCTGTCAAGAAGCATTCTGCCAAGGCAAACTCAAGCCAAACCTGTAACCTTTACCACTCTTGAACAGAGTGCCATTTACATCTACAGAACAACTGTTTTCTTTCAAAATTGTCACCCTTGTGAGACATGATAATAGAAAGCCTGGAAGCAAGATAAGGACGTAGACTCCACCCTCATCCTTTCTGCCTTTGAGCTTATCTTGTTAAGATTAAAGGTGAAGGAAACAGAACTAGGTTATGCCTTATTTTATTCCCTCACACTTCCTATTTCATAATGACCAAAGAGTGTTTCTAACTATATAAGAATCCTAATCTCTTACTTACATTATGATCACCCTATGATGTTGAAAACTATTCCCATATACACATATGAAAAAGAGATACATGACCAGAATTTGATTGTATGAATTGGTATGCAAAAATATGCTCCATTTAATAGCTATTTTTCTTTGTTTTCATTGTGGTGAATAGTCACTATATGATTTGAATAACATATAGAGATATGTCCCTGCCAGTGTGTCCATATTCTTTTTGGTACTTTGCACACCTTAGAAAGTATATTCACTTCTAGTCTAGTCTCAGGAGACAGAAAATTTGCTAGATCAGAGATCTGCCCCCCTGAGTAGAGTTAAATAGAGCAGGTCTACGCTTATCCACCAATTCTAAGTGGCTTCATCATAAGTAGGCCGACATCACACAAGTTACATTGTGTGGTGCTGAACAAACTTGCTGAGTATTGCACAAGGCAGCTAAATGTCCAATGGAGCATGGAGAAAGGAGGAGGGGGAGAAGTAACTAACTTTCTGAAAGAAAAATTACGGTAATTTTTGATAATGATAATCTGTGGGTCAGTGAGCTATGGGTGTGACAATATCACACAAATGCCATGACTGCATATTTTCATCACATGTTGAGACACAATACTGGAGTGTGTCCAATCACACCTGGCCAATAAATTCTATTCTATTCTATTCTATTCTATTCTATTCTATTCTATTCTATTCTATTCTATTCTATTCTGTTCTGTTCTGTTCTGTTCTGTTCTTCGTAAAGGGGGAAGTTGAGTAATGATGCCATTGTGTGTGTGTGCATATGTGCTGTCATTGTGGCATCACTGTAGCTTGCTGAAATATAATTAGTCTGAATTCAAACTTTATTAATGCATATAAACTGTATATAGATATAGTTTTCAAGATTGGTAGTTTATTTACGATAATGATGGAAATAGAGAAATGTGAACACTTTAGGTTTTTTTGGTTAAGAATAATCTCTTTCTCTTTTATATTATTTTTTTCAAAATAGGACCAATAAATATTCAATTAGATTTTTAAATATATGACACAGCATACTACTTTTACAAGAATCCATTGTAAAGTATGGATTGAGATGATTAAAAATTAACAAATGCTGTGAAACTATAATTGGTGGATTGTTAATTTTGACTGAAGTGAGAAACCAGGTGTTAAAATATATCAAAAGAATCCCAACATTGCTGCTCTATGTATACACATGCCTTACATATTCAGAGACTCATTTAGTGACTCTCTTCCATAATAATTTTCACTTTATTTTGGTTATTCTGCCTGATTTTGAAAATGTAAAACCTATTTTACAAATTTATTCTAATTCAAAACAGGCCTACACATCAAGCAGTAAAGAGATGGCATCTAATATATTGTGTAGCAACCATGTGGGAGTAACCTAGGAATATGGATAAATTAAGAGAGCCCTTGGGAACTTTCTCAGTTCCACACTTCAAGGATGAACTACCGGTAATTTAGAAAGATCCTACACTCTTTCAAGAAACGCGACTCACCATGTAGCCATTCTCCAATTTCAAATCTAGGAGCCTGCTCCTGTCTGGCTATATCTTCCACAAAGGCTACTTCATAAGCCAGTTTGTCAAGGGATCTGCAATACAAGTCTTGGGCCCAACTTTATGGCTTAAGGGTAAGGAGGACTCTGACATGCTTGGCTCATTTCAGCATGACTGTCCATTTACTCAAACGCCAGTTCTGGTGGCCAGGGATGAAACCAGATGTGGAGACGTATGTATGGGTCAACAATAAAATCCATGGCGATCTCCTCCCAAGGCCGGATCGGATTGGCGACCTGCTGCAATAGGCCAGGCGGTTTCCCTACACGGGGTTTAGCGATAGCACATATGGGGCATTATTTTATTTATTTATTTATTAAACTTATATGCCTTTTTCTAGGCCTACCTATTGGATGGAGGCTTTCCACAGCATCTGTGGCCGAGACTTTAAAAAGTGCGCATATGCTCCTGCCACAAGTAATGGAAAAATCTGTAGAAGCAATAACTTAATATTTGATATATAAGCTAGCTAGAAATGCATAAATCAGCTCTAAGAGTGAAGTGCCCATATATTAGAGAGGAACCAGAGCCTTTTAAAAAGGCTATTAGAATTCCATTTCGTTAATTTATCCATTCCTGGCCTGGACATATCATAATGCATATGGAGAGAAGTATCAAAATTTAAATATTTTCCCCATAAAAAATATTTCCTACAGAGGAATGCTAGCAAAGTCAGTGGCTTTTTGTCAGGGTGGAAAAGGGGTAGAGAGCTGGGGTTGCATTATAGAAGGAGAGAGAAGCTCTGATCTTTTCCACTACCAGAGTGGCACGGGGATAGCAGCACAGATGCCCACAATATCATCATCTCTGAAGGATAATGAGGACATTGTTGGCTCACCAGCAAAGGATCATCCTCAGCTCTTTCCTACTGGAGTGCTACAGTGGGCACAAGGTGGCCGGGCTGATGTAAAGAATGAGTAAGAGCAGAGGTCTCTTCTTACATAGGACTGGAGCCATACAAACTATGCCAGAGCTTGTGAAGGGATAACGTAAAGGATTTTAATAGGAATTTCAATAGGGGAAAAAAAAAATGAGTGGAAGAAAGGGAGAACATGGCCGGATATTATACAGGTAGTCCTTAATGTATATTGAGACCAGAATTTCCATTGCTAAGCAAGACGGTTGTGAAGTGAATCACACCCAATTTTATCACCATTTCTGCCATGGATGTTAAGCAAATGACTGCAGTTGTTAAGTGAACCACATGATTGTGAAGTGAATCTGGCTTTCCCCATTGACTTTGCTTATCAGACATTGGGAATGTAAAGACATTTGTAAATGTAAAGACATTTACAAATGCGATCACCTGACCCTGGGACACTACAACTATCATAAATGTATATATTTTGCTCCATCCCCTGGAAAAAAATTATTGTAGAGACCCAAGTGTGAAGCACTACACTTTTTTTTGGTGGGGGGGGGGAGTCACTATAGAAATTGTCACACTTTATTCTTGTCTGGCTAATTTCCAGGGTTTTCTCCTAGCCCTGGAAAGGCTCAACCTACAAGCTGATAAATAATCTAATTTGCATAAATCATCTATCCTTGAGTAGAAGAAACCCATATCTTCTAATTCTGCTGTTGATAATGAAAAAAACCCACCACTCCTATAGTTGAAGCCTCAGCCTGGCTCAGACACCATCAAAGAGATGGTAAAGAAACCTTATTTCCATAAAGGAGAAGGGGAGGGAAGAAAGGATGGAGCATCTTGCAAAAGCACTTAAACAATATCAGCTTTGTTTATAGTTTGGCTACCATCACATGTCTATATGGAAGACATCACATCTCAGCTTCATGAAACTCACTCTCTCGCTTTTCAAATAAGGATATCTGTGTCAATCCTGGATGTTAGATCTGCTATGGATCTTCAGGTCTTTGGGCCAAATTTTGTATATGGGTCAAATTTTGTATATGGCGTAGTTTTGATTGGGCTTTGCTAGGGGTTTTATATGGGGTATTTTAGAGCAGGCTTTTTATTCAATATTTATTGTGATTTTTATTATTGCCTGTTCACCGCCCTGAGTCCCGTAAGGGAGATAGGGCGGTATATAAATTTAAATAATAAATAAATAAATAAATAAAGTACTGGTAGTTATTCAGAATTAGCCACGGAGTCATTATATATCCAGTTTCTCCTATCATTAATGGGGGAGGGGGAGAGAAAACTTGTTCTGTTATATTTCCCAAAGGACAAGGCTTGAGAAGATAGAAGGAAGAAGGTTCCTTCTGATCACCATGGTCAGTGTATCATAATAACCCTAACTCTAAAAGCAAATTATGTTCTACATTATGCTGTCCAAAATCAGTTCACTTCCCTTTCTCCATTGCTTTGCAATGCTATTGTTCTTTGTTTCTTAGATAACAGTCTGAATACCCAGGTAGTCTTTGACTTGGAACCACAATTGAGCCCTGTTGTTAAGGGAGTTTTGCCCCATTTTTCTTGCACTGCAGGAAAATCATTGCAGTTGTTAAGCTAGTAACATGATTTTTAAGTGAATCTGGCTTCCCGCATTGACTTTGTTTGTCGGAAAGTCACAAAAGGCCATCACGTGACCCTGGGACAGGGGTAGGCAACCTTGGCTCTTTTATGACTCGTAGACTTCAACTCCCAGAATTGCTCAGGAATTCTGGGAATTGAAGTTCATGAGTCATAAAAGAGCTTACCCCTGCACCTGGGACATTGCAGCCGTCATGAATATGATCACATGACCATGGGGGATGCTGCAACGGTCATACGTGTCAAAAAGGGTCATAAGTCACTTTTTTCAGTGCTGTTGTAACTTTGAACGTTCAGTAAACAAACTGTTGTAAGTCAAGGACTACCTGTAAATGACTCGCAGTTAGCCTAAAGAAAATCATGCTGGCTAGCTTCATTTTTATCATGTGAAATTAATAATTGGACCAAGCACCCTGAATTCATGATCACCCATAACAAGAAAAGGGATTGTTTTTTTTGGCACTGGAAAACCCCATGTTTTAACACAGTGACTGGCTAGGGCAGCCTTTCCCAATTTGATGCTTTCTAGAGGTGTTTGGACTACTTAGCTAGATAGAACAGGACCATATGCTTAAGCAGGAACTAATTGTTTCCTAGGATCAGAGGAGTGACTTAAGGGAGCATCATTTTCGTATTGAGATTAGATAAACTGAGACCTCATGTACATTCTTGCTATTATTTGGGTACAGACCTTCCATCTCAGTGGAAACCTTTGGGTTTGCTGGCAGGAGCCAGGCAGCCTTTGAAAAAAGAGAAACATGCCATTCTTTGGTGTGTTCAGTTATGGTTAGGAGCTCTGATGCGCTGACATCTCCACGATAAGGAGATGCTGGATGTTGGGAAGCTCAAGTTCCATCATGTGACATCAGTTTGGGAGGCATCAGTATCACAGCTTGGCTGCTTAGGGTTAGCATTTCTTGCACAAAAATAGCTGCCGCACCAGGTGCAACTTTCCTCACCGTGTTCAATTTCATTTGTAAAAAAAGCCCTTGGAACCGGTCTGCTGCAAGGGTAAACAAAGCGCAAATTGTGGTTACTATTTTGCCCCTGCTTTTAAAATGAGATCAAAATAACTGCACGATTTCAATGTGAATATTAAGATATGAGTGCCATGCTGTTACCTAGAGCTGTTCTGTATCCGGTCCAGCATTTACACAAGCAGCTCATCTGAATCAACATCCATATAATTTTTTAGAGTGACAGGTGTTTGTCCCGTTCTCTGTGCTGCAAAAAGAACCAAAAGCATCCATTATTAAACAGCAGGACACATAAACACACACATTTAAGTTTGTTTCAATATCTGTTGCCAATGGCCAGTGACATTTCACTTGCTCTATCAGAGACAGATCAGATCAGAAGGCAGGTGCACACACATACATACACAGAAATATTAGATACATAGAAATTGAAATAAGATGAGATAGATAGATAGATAGATAGATAGATAGATAGATAGATAGATAGATAGATAGAGAGATAGATAGATAGATAGAGAGAGAGAGAGAGAGAGAGAGAGAGAGAGATGATGGATGGGTAGATAGGTAGGTAGGTAGATGATAGAGAGAGAGATGATAGATAGACAGACAGACAGACAGACAGACAGAGATAGAGAGATAGAGAGGGAGAGATATAGAGATAGAGAGAGAGATAGACAGACAGACAGACAGACAGATAGAGAGATAGATAGAGATAGAGAGTTTGAGAGATAGAGATAGAGAGAGAGATAGAGAGAGATAGATAGATAGATAGAGATGATAGATGATAGATGATGGATGACAGATGATAGATAAAGATAGATAGATAGATAGATAGATAGATAGATAGATAGATAGATAGATAGAGAGAGACAGAGAGAAAGAGAAAGAGAGAGAGAAAGAGAGAGAGAAAGACAGAGAGAGAAAGAGAGCGATAGAGAGATAAAGATAGATAGATAGATAGATAGATAGATAGAGATAGATAGATAGATAGATAGATAGATAGATAGATAGAGAGAGAGAGAGAGAGAGAGAGAGAGAGAGAGAGAGAGAGAGAGAGAGAGAGAGAGAGAGAGAGAGAGAGAGAGAGAGAGAGAGAGAGAGAGAGAGAGAGAGATACTTGCAGGTCCTTATACTTTCAGGCAATCATATTCATTCACAGGGCTAAGTTGGCTGTTTTAATTTTGTTTGTTTAATGTAAACTGTGAGATGGGACAGTTTTATTTTAATTTTTTTAAATAGTTATCTTGAGGAAAGGGTAAGAAAAAATGTCTTTGTGAGGAATACAAATAAAAGAATACTACACAAAAACCTGAGAAATCTAAGGGTTGCTTACAAAACAAAACAAATGCAGTTTTTGTTCATTCATTTCTATATGCAAGGCTCACATGAAAAATCCTTACCTAAGTGTCTTTGAAAATAGCTCAGAAGCAGCTTCTTTTTGAGAATGAAAAAAAAGCAGCTTAAGACACTTAAGAGAAGGATTGCCTGTGGTATGATATTTGGGATGCTGCTAATATAAAGGTTAACTTCAGTGGTGGGATTCAAATATGTGAACAACCGGTTCTCTGTGTGGATGCTGCTTTTGGAAGTCCATTCTGGGCCTGGGCAACAAAAAATTAGCTACCGGTTCTGCCAAACTGGTGCAAACTAGCTGAATCCCACCACTGGTTAAGTTCTACCTTCCCATCTCTTTCACCTTGCCAGTCATGCCATGCAGGCACCTCTTTTCTGCCTCTGCTAAGCACAGAATCTGAATCAAGCAAGTTGATTTAAAATTGTGGGATAGTGATGTCCAAACAGTGCCACCTTCTAGACTCATGTTGGTAGCGCAGGGACCATACCCATGAAGGTGATAGGATTTGGGGGGGGGGGGTGTCAGGGAAGACCTGATGCCAGCCCTTACCAGTTTCCTCTGGTTGCTCAGACAGAAGGTGCAGATGGATCTTGGGCTCCCCGTGGCAGGGCTGCCTTGCAGGAGAGGCTGATAGTGCAAGCAGGGCTGCCTCACAAGCAAGGTCTCCTCAGCTAAGTTCCCACCAGGTGGCTGCTGCTGCTGCTGCTGCTGCTGCTGCTGTAGGAGCAGCATATTCGCCAGGTGCGAGATGTAGCTGGAGGCCAGGCGCAGGGTCTCGATCTTAGACAGCTTACGGTCTGCAGGCTCGGTCGGGATGAGTGTGCGGAGGGCGCTGAAAGCGGAGTTGACGCTGTGGGTTCGGTCCCTTTCCCGAGCATTGGCTGCCTGCCTCTGCTTGTTGCGACCACTCGGCCGAGGGCTCTTGCGTTTGCATTTGCTTTGGGCCCCAGTGCCGGGCAGGGAGCGGCCCGAACTGCTCTCGCTGCTGCCACTCTCCAGCTCCTCCAGATCGGATGCAGCACCCCCGCTTGACTTCATGGTCAAGCCAGCAGCCCCTCAGCTCCATCACTTTTATGCCCAGCAGCTGCCACCTTGCTCCTGTTAGCATCAGCAGCCGCTGCTCTATCAAAAACTCCCCTCCAGCAGCAGGATCATTTTTTGAATGGTTGCTCCTTTTAGATCGAGCAGATGGTGGCTCTGTAAATAAGGCCGGGGAGGTGGAGCTGCTTCTCAGAGGAGCTATTGCAAGCCCTGCACCTGTCTGCTCCTTGTCATGCCAGCGTGTGCGAAGGCCTGGGCAGCCCCCAGGAGCATGGGCAGAAGGGAAGCCCTCTCCTTCCCCTTTCCCCTCAATCTCAGGAATGGTTTCATGCCTCTCTCAAATTCTCCAGGAAGACAGACATTTCCCCTTTTCTTTCAGCAGGCTCATAATTCAGAAATCACTTGAATATCTAGACTACTGAAAACTGAGCCAAGTGTTAGACCCAGAGGAGTTAAAATCAGAGTTCCTTCCTTCCTTCCTTCCTTCCTTCCTTCCTTCCTTCCTTCCTTCCTTCCTTCCTTCCTTCCTTCCTTCCTCCCTCCCTCCCTCCCTCCCTCCCTTCCTTCCCTCCCCACATTTTCATAACTTTATTATGCTGACTGCTCAACAATTCTCAAAATACTATTTAGACTAAGGGTATCCTATCTCTTTGGTGTGTTCTGGCATATCTCAGAGTTATAACAAGACATTTCAACTGTGTCACTCTACAAACCATTTGAAAAAAAAAATAGGTTGCCCAAATAAGCTTTCTAAGATCTAACTATCTCAATCAAACTAACCAAATGGGCTAAACAACTATTTCTAAGGGCTTCAGCAGAAAGATATATGGTCAATTTTAATCCTAAAGCTCAACATCACTATTTTATGTTTAGTGTAGTGTTGGAATACTGGAGATGGCTTCCTTTTAGCACCAATGCAAGCACTCCAACACAGCCAGCTGCTTCCACATTCTTGGCTGTGAGTCCTCCTGTCCTCTCACCAACTCTGCTAGATCCTATTTGTGGTTTGTTGCCACACTCTGTTGCCTCTGTCACTCTCACCTGCTCATTTATGCAGGGGCAGAGATAAGCCCAAGGCTAAAAATGGAAATTCAGAATCCAATGCCCCCTTGCTTTTAGTTCTCACCTGTAAAAGCACAGCCATGCTTCAAGGCTACGGCAGCATTTGTATTCACTGCTGGAATAAGGAACATAATACATTTTGAATTGACCTGATCAGCCATGCTGTTACTTGTATATCATACAAAGATGGATTTGGCTTGATTCCTACTTCTTGAAGAGCATTAAATAGTGGCAACCCTGCCTCTTTGGCCCACTGATGACTCCAGACTCCTTGGCTTGATTTGAAATCAGTTTGATATTTATGAACTTTTCATGAATCTTTACCTTTTAGGCTGGTCGATAAAACTTTGATTATAAGTTACGCCAAAGATCCCAGAAGGTACCCAGATAAAACCCACCAAGAACTTACAAATGTGGCACATGGAGATTTCTTGACTTATTTATCATAATTCTGTTTTATTTGTGTGTTTGTGTGTGTGTGTGAGATCTGCACTGGTTTGAAAACAGTGTTGCAATATGAGAAGTTCTCTGAATACATACACCTAAATAATAGTATCATGGCTATCACATATTGCCATATGGAACAGTAGTATAATTTACATGGCTTTGAATAGTCTTCTGGCACCCAGTTCCAAAACACCCAAAGACATCACCCCCATATAAAGATTTGAAGAACCCAACAGAAATAATGGGCTGAACTTTATTTACCAAACCACCTGAAGGCAAGACAAGAAGCAATGGATGGAATCTAATCAAGAAGAGAACCAACCTAGAATTAAGGAGAAATTTCTAGACAGTGAGAACAATTAATCAATGGATTGCCTTACCTCCAGAACTTGTGGGTGCTCCAACACTGCAGGCTTTTAAGAAGAGATTGGACAATCATTTGTCTGAAATGGTATCGGGTCTCCTGCTTGAGCAGGGGGTTGGACTAGAAGACCTCCAAGGTCCCTTCCAACTCTGTTATTCTGTTCTGAATTAAAGAAAAAACAACTGTCTGTTTCCCTGGTGGTCTTTTAATCAATCCCAATGAATCAAATTCACATCGTAGAAATAAGGAGTTAGTCTGAAGAGTAATTCAAGGGCCAACAAAAAGATAGATGGGAACGTTTATCTGAATACTAATAGCAGATGCTATTTATGATTCTCTACCCGAGAAAAACCTCATAAAAGGGGGCTTCGATTCTTAATACAACTGAATATTAAATAATGAAAAAATAATAATTGCAAACTCTGGCAATTGGCAGAACCTTTATGTTGCATTGATTGGGAATGTGTGTTGTGAAATTTGAAGCTACTCCAATACCCAAATTCAAGCATATCCAGTAAAATATGTTGAAGAATTCTGAATTTCTGAAAATGTTCTCAGATCAAAAGCGAGATTCTTCCTCCAGCTTTCTTTTCTTCAGTTGAGTCCTTGGTTCTTGGTTTCTTTTCTTCAAACAGATTCCTTTTATTTGTTGTAATCTAGTCGTTTTATCCCAGCAATCTTTATATTCTTTTAAGAAATTTCAACTGACCTTGGACCTCTAGAAATTTCCAGTTTTTAGGGGATGATTTTATAGCTACTGGGAAGGGTTATTTTCCCCATACAAATAACAGGGAACTTCCCCGCCCATCCAGAAAACCTGTCAATGAAACAATCAAAAGACGTTCAGATGTACAGTAGGGCACAACTGCCTGTATCTCACAGAGAGACTCTGTCTTCTTTTTCACTGACAACCTGGTTTGATATAATTGGAGGAACAGACTAGGCAGGAAGCCAGAAAAGGACTGTTTTAAGTAAACAGAGGCGTCTCCACCTGGACACAAATAAATTCAGCACCACCATAAGCTTCCAGTATTTAATAACGCAATCCATGCATCTTTAGGCTTTCTTTATATTTGACAGCTCTGAGTTAAGAAAATTAAAAGTAAAGCCAAGAGGCTGATACAATGACAAGTTAATCCAGTGATTAAGGATCCCCACATTAAAAAGATTAAATGTTCTTGTTTTTAGCTCTAAGATTCCTTGAAACGTCAGTGCAAAATGGCCATTCAGCTTAAAAGATGCTTGTAAAACGTTCAGAATATTGCCGCCGTTAATTGCTTAATTATTGATTGGAATAACATTTAGGCAAAGACTGGATAGAATTAATTCCTTAAGGAAAGTTTAGGACTAGAATTGACATTGTACCACGCCCCTCCCCAGTACTAATATATGTCACCGTTAACAGTCAAGAGTTTTACAAGGCCAATAAGATTATTGAATTAACGGAAAAGCCCATCATTGACTCTTAATCCTCTAAATGGCGAGATTGCTTGTGTGCTAATTGCCACAGAATGCCCTAATATACAATGCAGATCGTCAATTTCCTTGAGCCAAAGTCAGACTTGTGTTAAATAAGCGCAAAACTTTATGATTACAGTGACTACACATCAAGCCAAGATAAGAAACAGAAGGCACCTTCCTCACATCAGTTTATTTATTTATTTATTTATTTATTTATTTATTTATTTAATTTATTGAATTTATATACCGCCCTATCTCCCTTACGGGACTCAGGGCAGCGAACAGGCGATAATAAAAACCACGATAAATATACACAAATTTCTGTTTTAAAATCAAATTAAATAACAGGCCTGCTCTAAAAATACCCCATACAAAACCCCCACTAAAACATAATCAAACTACGCCAGGCCGGCCGCACGGAATAGATGGGCCTTCAGGGCTCGGCGAAAAAGGCGCAGGTCTGCAACTGTACGTAGGTCGGGGGGTAGGTCATTCCAGAGGGTAGGAGCTGCCACAGAGAAGGCTCTCTCCCTGGGGGTCGCCAGCCGGCATTGTCTGGCCGACGGCACCCTAAGGAGGCCCTCTCTGTGGGAGCGGACTGGTCGAAGGGAGGTGTTTGGTAGGAGGCGGTCTTGCAAATACCTAGGTCCATTGCCACGGAGCGCTTTAAAGATTGTTACTAACACCTTGAAGCGCACCCGGAAGGTCACAGGCAGCCAGTGCAGCTCAAAGTTACTAACACCTTGAAGCGCACCCGGAAGGCCACAGGCAGTTTATGCATCATGTACTGCTAATGGCAGAATCACTATAATTGCTTGAACATATACAAAGGAAAAAAAAAAAGGGGGGGGGGGAAAGGCTCATTTTGTTGTTCTGTTTGTTTTGTGTGTGTGTGCTTTTTTTTAACTCAGAATGAACATGCTTTTGATTCTGCTGAAATTTGGAGCCTCTAGCCTGCATTTCTATAATCTTTTTAACAGTCGCTGCTTTTTTTTTTTTTTACAACTTGTAAATGAGTGTGTCCCAAGAGGATCAAATCAGATTAGCAAGGCAATTTCCTCCTTGTCATTTAATAATGGTGAAACTAGTAGTGTAAATATAGTTAGGGCGGGCATAGAAGACCCCAAACCCTTCTACATTTACCTCCAACCCAACCCTAGATGTAATCTATTCCTGAGTAGTATACATTTTGGGGAAAACCTAAGCATTTGCATAGGGTGACATGACTTGTGAGGTTGGAGCAGCTGGTGGAAGAGACTCTGGACATGTGCAGTAGAGCAGAGGTGTCCAACTTCCAGTCTGCAGCCCAATGCCGGGCTTCTGCCTGTTGGTAACCAGGCCGCGCAAGCTGCCAGTGAGTGTGCCCGTGAAAAGCTACATTTGTGGAAGCAGCACGCATGTGTGCAAAACCATTCCCTCTGCCCCCCCGGCTACCGCCACTGAGAGCCAGTTTGCAGAGCCGGAAAGTTTGGGGACCACTGCAGTAAAGATCCTCTGTGTGTACGGATGAGGGAACCATCAGATGACTAACTCTCACTCTTTGCTGACATCTCATGGTTACCCAGTAGTCTTCAGCATGGACAAGGTATTTCTAGTTTCTCTACTTCCGAGAAAGTGTCTCAAGCTAACATCGCTGCTTATTCCTAGACTGCATATGCCAGTG